AAATTAATTCCTGAAGAGAAACACCATATCAATGCTATTGGTGAATGATGGGGGAATCACAATCTCATAACCCAGTTGCCAATTGGTCTCTTTGACATTTTAAATTTCACTTTCTGTTCTCTGATCAATGTGCTAATCCAACAGATTCTTCATTAGCCAAAAAGTCAGAAAAACCTTTGAAATTGAAACATCAAATCTTCCTATTTTCAAACATGAAGCCTCCGGATGAACCATAACGGCATAACCGGTGATTTTGTAGCATCACTGCGATACATTATGTACAAGAATGGAGGCAGCTGCAACGGTGTCACATATTTTTGCTAAAAAACCCTGGCAGGATTTCCTGCAGAGACTAGCGGACACTCCGGGGAAAGGTATATATCCTGGAGGTGGTGTGATGTAAAAATAACTGGTAGAGATACCAGGGGGGTGTTTCACAAAGATCCTAAGTTGAACTCATGGAAAGCCGTTTGCATATATAAAAATATTTTGTAAAATTTATTTGAAAAGGCATAAAATGTTGATTCAAATCATTCATATTTTCTATTATCAAGGAGAATTCATATTCTTGATGTGGAATTTATGAAAAGTCTAAAATACTTGAATTTTTTGCTTATGAATATATTTTATTTTAAGGCTACAAATGGCTTTCCATAATGTTTAAGTCCAACTTAGAGTTAAAGTCAATCTTAGTCTTTGTGAAACACCTCCTGATCCGTCCTCATTAGCACTAAATATTCAAAATGGCCGCCTAGAACCGATCTACATACATACATTGTGAAACACCTCCTGATCCGTCCTCATTAGCACTAAATATTCAAAATGGCCGCCTAGAACCGATCTACATACATACATTGATATAGATCCTTCTCTTAATAACATGCTCATTACTTGCCTCCTCATAGCATAGACAATTGCTAATTAGCCTTTAATGAGCACTATGTTTCAACTGACGGCTCTATTTTGTATTTATAGAATTAGCCATAACAAAGTTTTGAAAGTCCACTAGGATTTTATTATACACGATAACTGAGAGAAAACAATGAAAATGACACCTTAACGATTTTGCATTCTATTTTAGGCCTTTTCTGTAAGCTTTGAGGGATGAAATTAAAAACTTATGTCTGCCCTTTTGTACGAAATCAGATCAAGCAGAATTTTGTAGAAACAAACATTCACATAGTACATGTACGTCTTAAAGAGAAGGTTGAGTTCTGGGAAGAGGTGAAAAATAATTTGTGAGCATTACTCATTCTTATTATGCAAGTGTGGAAGAACATCAGTTAAGACATGTTCCCTGAAAAGCATGGCTCTTCAAATGCCTTCATATTCTAAATATGCATGTAACATCGTAAAAATCGGGGGGGGGGGGGGGCCGGCTTTTTACGCCACATGTTCGTGTAGTCCCATATACATCTTTCTGTGCAAGTGTTTGTAACTTTACCAAGACTTGGCCAAATTTCTTATCATTTTGATGATTCCAGAACCTTGCAATACACACAAATTCTTATATGCTAGATGATCAACCTTTTCTGATCGGTTCCACACCGTTTCTTTCACAATGCAATCGCAAGACCAGAACTCAACTTCATCTTTAACTTCACAAGGCCAAATTTCAAACAAGTATCTCAATACTTCCTTTCCTACTACACAGAAGACAAAACAAAAATGAGTCTAATTTTCTTTAGTGCTACAACTAGAAGTGACTGTTATGAAATATTCATTAGTATATAATCTTACCTCGGATAGCTGATTCTGATGGAAAAATTCACTTCAAATCTCCATCAAATGTGTTTCAATGATACAGAATCAGCTAATAATGCAATACGACTATACAGATCCCCCTAGGGAGCTGGCAAATCAACATAACCATGCCTTGGCAAAAGCACTCCTACATGTAGTCCCATGTGTTTCATAGCATGCTGCTTATATACCTAATGGATTACTTTTCTTAATATAAAACATGAGACACACCCAACATCTAAACATCTTGAAAAGAAGGAAAGGCAGAATATTACATAGGTGTTGACGTATAAACTTGGGTGGAACCTTGCTTCAAATGCTCAAAAAGTGGCATTATTTAATTTATTTTCATGAAAAAGAAGAAAGCCTATTGATGTCTATGACGAAGATCATGCAAGGCATGTTGCCCAGGCTGGTAAACAAATTGTCAACATCGTACATGTACATGCGTACGTGAAGCTTGCCCTTATTCATAGACTCCTCACACGTACAAACACGATAGTCAGTGCAACGCTCTTGTGTCGTCACACAGTAAATTGGCAAGTCTATTGCTCACTTCGCCGCAGTAGCATTGCTCATCTCTGCTTGACGTCATCAGCAATTAATACTGAGAGGGAGAGAGAATGCAGGTGTGGGGAAGAGGGAGAGGGAGAGGGAGAGGGAGAGGGAGAGGGAGAGTGAAGGGGAGAGAAAGGGAAAAGAGATAAAGGAGATGGAGAGAGAAGGGAGAGTGAGATAGGAGAATGAAGAATATGATAGAAGGAAGAATAACTGGAGCATATGAGTCCAAGAGAATAAAGAATGAAGACAGAAGACAGAGATGGAAAGAGGGATAGTGAGACAAAAGAACAAATTTGAGGACAGTGCAAAATACACAATAGTAAGAGAGGAGGGAAAGAGGAAGAGAAATGGCAGACTTACACTATTGTTTTCAAAGATGGGACATTAAAGCAGCAATACATAGACAAAAACAAGAGTGGGATAGATAGGAGGAGAGAGAGAAGACTAGAATGAGAAAGAGATAAGAAATAATAATAAAAATAATAATAGTTCAGTTCTTGTATAGCGCATAATACGTTATGAAATAACATCTCTATGCGCTTCCAAAGAGCTTTGGACTTTATTACCCTAGCTTTAGAGATAATTAACGAGAGAAGGTACAGAAAGAGAAAATGAGGGAGAGAGAGAGAGAGAGAGAGAGAGAGAGAGGAAAGGGAGAGAGAGACAGAGAGAGAGAGAGAGAGATAGAGAGTAAGAGATGGAGAGAACGGGAGAGCAAGAGAGTGATACATGCTATAGATGCAGTGCATAGCTGGCCTGGGAGTATGAGTAGTAGCTCACTATAATAATTGATTAGCCAATGTCCATCTTCAAGATGACCCGTACTGCTGCCTTAAAGGGAACGATCATCGCACAGCATTTTGGTTGAAAAAAAGCAATAACGACTATCAACAGAGACGTGGAATCACGAGGTACTAGTTGTAGTAGGGGTGAGAGGAGGAGGAACAGAAAAGTAATATAACAGTTTAAGTTGTAGGAGGAGGAGGAGGAGAAGAAGGAGGAGAGGGAATGGACACAGCAGCAGCAGCAGTATTCATAGTAGTACTCGTAGTAGCAGAGGTACTACTAGTAGCCACAAGCATACACAGCAGGAATAATGCCGTGAATATTAGTAATAATATCAACATATGTATGCCTAACAATTAACCTTATATAAACACATGCTGGCTCTAAAATTTGATAATCAATGCACAAACAAAATGTGAAGGTGACTTTCAGCGTGAGGCTTCTGTTTCATAGCTTAATGCATCCTTGGACTTGATTTGCAAGTACGTCTAAGTGAGCAGGCTGATTTTTTCTTACTGTAGCTTTTTATGTGCTGCTCCTAGCATTGCTTGCTTTTAAAAACCTTGATTTCTCATTCACAAGAGACCTCACGATAGAATGACTCATAGCCCCAACATAAGTCTCGGATTTCTAATTTTCTATGACAGTGACACTTGCTATTAAACGTGTGGTTGATAAAGCAAAGATAGGGTTACAAACGGATGACGTTTTCTTTTTTTCTTTTCGCTTTTTTGTCCTTTGTGATAAGATGACACATTCTATGGGGTCTCTTCTCCATGCAGAGCTCTTCTGTGATGCAGAAATCTGTACAGTTAATTATTATCTTCAAACTTTTAGGTAATATCATTATTCATGAGCCTATAGTTTTTACTTTACTTTGGTATAAGATATATTTTCATAGACCCAAGCCAAAATGTCTTGGGCCTGGTAATAACCATATTTAAGATTGTATAACTGTCATATTGTGTCTGTAACTCTCTAATAATATATTCTACAATAATCGCATTCTAGGGCATGAGGAGAGGGAGAGAGAGAGAGGCTTTCTTCCAAAGACACTGCCTAATAATACCATCCTCGGAGAAACGAATTCACAAATCTGATTCCCATTACTCACAAATCCAGTGCTCCGGGGCACCTGCGGTAATGGCGCTCTGGTTGTGGAGAGGGAAAACATCATTTAATTACCTTTCGCTCAACACGCAAGTACACACATAGAGACAAATGCATCCTACACTTGGTGTCCGACTTAGAGAAGGATTGTGGATTATCAGGCTCAATGCTGATAAAGTAAAATCATTCTTTTTCTTTAACATAAAAAAAATAAAAATTGGGCTGCCTATTTACCCACTTACAGGTATTTTCAAGATAAAGTTAGAACACCAGTTATCATTAGCACATTTTACCATCTCTACATAGATACAAAATAAAATCTTGGACACTCGGAAGAATTCAGGCATTTTAAATTATATCAAGCAATTTTTAATGAGCTACGACTTCTTTATCAACTCCATCTAACCCTAACCAAAAACAAAAACATTAAACTAAACGGTACTTAGATACCAAATAGCATCATCAACATACACATTTTAAAGGGGGTGTAGCTTGGCAGATACTGGTTAACGGCATCTACGTCTTCTTCTGGACAACTGCACGTAAACAAATGGACTTGATTAACGGCACTCTACATGGTCAGCATGCACTAGCGTTGGCGAAACAGACCGAAGTTCTCCTCACGCTTCAGTTTCATGTATGTTGCACGCACAGGAATACTGCGGTCGCGTCGTCTGTAGTCATATTATACCTGATTGGCCCTGAGTCAGGCCACAGGAAAGACATGTAGTCTCGTCATGCTACACACCCTTTAATATAAACACTGAACACTGAACAGTACACAAACACCTGACACTCACCTTTACTCTTATCCTGGCTGGCTTCGCGGCAAGCAAGCTCTAGTGAGTTGTGTTGTTTGGCAAGAGTTTCGATGGTCTCCTCTAGACGAATCCGCTGCGTGTGTTCATAGTGGATGGCTTTCTGCCACTTGCGCCCATGCGTCTGCGCCAGCTCAAGGAAATCTGCACATGCCTGTAAGGAAACAAGAAAATCAAATGAAATTATAATAAAATTTATCCAAAAAATATTTTTTTCAAAATAAAAATTTATTCAAAAAAAAAAAAAAGTTATTATAATGTTTCAATGGTCTCTTCCAAAAGAATCTGCTGCTCATAGATAGATAGTGGATGAAAAATAAAAAAAAGTTACAAATAAAAGACTCAAAGAAGAAGTTCATTGATTACAGGTAGCTTTAAATAGATATAAACAAGATTGAATGTATAAATAATAAAATGAGGTCTTCTGTGGTATGATTTTGGGGATCCTAGACCAGTCCTCGAATTTCACAAGAGTAAAGAGCTTCGAAAACAAGCAGATGAACAGAGGATAAACTCCTTTTTATTATTACAGGCACATCTCATGCATGAAACCACAGGTTTCATAGACTTTCTGACTTTGAAACTCAACGATACATCCTACACGTCTTCACCGGGTTCTCCCCATTTTCAAACATAAATGTAAACTTACAGGTACAAGTTCTTGATGAACAAGTCCTAGATCACCTCAAAGTTCAAATAGTAATGAGAGTATCAGAGTGCATGAAAACAGAATCTCAATATGCAAAACAAATCATTGATTAAGTGAAGATAATTTCCTTAATTTTACTTATCATCTCAACTTCCGACTATACCACATGTCCACATAACTGATTAATTAACCAGCAAGGAATAACTAGCTGTGAATGAACAGGAAATCCATTGCTAAAATCCATAACTTTTATTAAAGTAGGACTCGTAAGCAGATGGAAAGGAAATCTACAACAGATGTTATTTGTACACAGTGTTGTGAATGTATCATCTGCTACATGCAATGCAATTTAGAAATATACTTTAGGAATTTTGTATGAAACCATAAAGAAGTACCGGTAAAGATATTTAAAGAATTCTTGTACAAAATTTGAATACCGTAAGAATACACTTTCTCATGTTATGCTCTTGGAATTAATTAGAAATAATACTTTCATAATTTCAAATTGATTCATTTATTCCTAAGGAATAGAAGCTGTAAAAATATTTTCACAACCTTGCTCAATTTTAATAAAACTACTTTTAAACTGTACAGAAAACATCTCCTCCAATGAAGTTTGTACCTAACAAAAATTAAAATATTAAAAATTAACATGATTTTAGATTTCTTCAAGTTGTCAATTTTGAAATAGTAATATAAATATATAACCAATGTTACATAAAGGTGTAGGTTCCCACTGCAGCAGATTGCATTTCAAATACAAAATATATACAATGTACATGTATACAGGCACTAGTAGGTCCGAAATATCCACGCAACTCATTTGTTTGGAGCCAGAAGGGCATTAACTCGGCTTTAAATGATACGAGTTATCAAACACCTTTATGGCCCCATATTGATAGTGATAAATGTTGATGTTGTGTCATGTTTGTCAAAAGCATTGCATGGCGCAGCTAATCAAACCATTGATTCCTAACCCAGTTCCATGACTCTCGACTGTCATTGTATACATTCCAGCGGGGTGATTAATTGTGTAACAGGGAAAGTGCAACGAAGCTCAATTATTTAGATCAATAGAAGTCCAATGATTGGCATGCATAGAAAATACCGAGTAAAAGCCTGGATACAGAAGTGCCAGTCAAAAAGAATATATATGGGTGCAGAGAATGATTTAGTTCTGGAAACTAAACAAAAAGTATGGTTTAAACAAAATAAAAAAATAATAATCACTGTAATGATATCTAATTTTAATGATCAAAAGTGCCCCGATAAAAAGAAGTATTCTAAAAAAGAAAGAAATAGGCCTCTTGGTTGGGCAGGCCAAGAGCCTAATCATGAAAAAATTGGTGTAATATGTTATATGAAATAATCCTAATGAGACAAAATCCACAGAAGAGAATGATTGTGGTAAAACAAAATGAAAGCAATTATGGTAAAACAAAACGACCGCGACAGGGGGAAATGATCATAATTAGAAAAAAATTATTCAGTTTGATAAGGAAATGCAAATATTTGGATTTAAACATGACCACAATATTATCCAGTTAAATGCATAACTTTATTAAATTAGGCAGGATACCTAGCTAATGTATCTATGTGTTGGACATCTCAAATAAGAAAGCAGTGAATCAAATTAAACTGAATATGAATAATACATACAATAGTACAATTAGACACATAGTTCATCATGTACACAAAAGACATTCAATTGAAAATATGATCCCCTCCCTCACAAAAAAAATGCAAAAGCGTAAATGCCACAGATCAGTGATGACACAAAAAGCACAATGGTTCATCATTACAGAGGATGAAAGCATCATTTTATCCTGAAAATGGCATACAAGGCTAGTCTAATTATTTTCTGAAAGACAAGAGAGTGTTTCAATTCATGAAATCAGGCTTTCGATCATCCTGAAAACTCTGGAGGCAGATTACATCAATCAAAGGAATCTGTTTCTTTTCAATATTGATAAATGTATTATTTTTATTTGTTTATTCCAAGAACAATACAATTTCCACTTGGAATATGAATTCAATAATCTATTTCAATATATCATCTCTTTGAGAGCTAGAAGCGATTTAATATGTGTAAAAGTCTATGAATTAACACCCTTCTGGCTCGAAGGAGACGATATAGGCCAGAATTCACAGAGTTTACAAACGGACAATGGTTAAAATGTATGGTTTAATATAGTCAGCCAAGAAGGTAAACAAGCAAAAAGAAAATATACAAAGGCAAAAGAATAGATTTGTTTTGTTTTTGTTTGAAAAATGAAGGTGAATAATACAAATATATTCCATTGAGAGCCAGAAGGATGTTTACGCTTTGTTGAAGAATACGAGTTAAAGACCTTCCACCTCTCAGTGGCAATATATTTTTGTTTACCAGTATTATCTTCTTTAGACTGGTTTCGTTAGTGGATTGTGCTCTTTATGTACACCATAGCAAACCGTGGGTGCACACAAATCTACATTTAAACCACCTCTGTGAATTTAGGTCATAATTTTAGAATTGATGTTAAAAATGCAAAGCACTCCAGATAAAAGCAAGGACATTCTAAAATATTAATTTTCACACTCTTTGTCTATAAATCAGGGTTTAAGTATAAATAGCAACTCCTCATTCTTCATGATCAGTCCTGATGTTCGTTCAAAAATAGCACTTAAGCCCCCTCAAACAGCACCCCCACACCTGTTCTAGTTTGTATGAGCAATCAATTATAGATGGAGTCATCGGTCGGGTTAAACAGAGTGGCATTTCTTGCTCTGTTAAAAGCAGAGGCTGCCACATACATTAAAGATAAAGTCGAGTACTGATCATGCGATTACATTGTGAAAGAAAACTGCCTGGAAGCCATAACAAAGAATTTTTTCTATTCTGCCAGGCAAATGATGATCTATAGTTATTTTTATTTTTTTTTTATTTTTTTTATTTCAAATATTTTTTTTACCTTCATTTCCCTGCTACTACTACTTTATGTCTATACAGAAGATTTCTACTAAACAGCTTTTTAAAGATTTTCTCAACATTTACATCTACAAGATTAAAGGTCATGCTTCAGCAGCATGACTCACATTCTTTAGCGTGATCGACTCATGCCGTCCACACCCTTTAAAGGAAAGAGCCAAGGATTGGTGGATGTGCATTAATGAGAGTAGCAGGCAATGCAAGGTCATAGTGGTAGAAGTACAGAAGCCGTATTAAAGCTTGCAGGCTGGCTGGCATGAACACCACTGCATGGTAACGGTGTGAATAATTCAAGCAGTGCTACTCAGGATTAATTAGAGCGGGCGTTGATTACTCTGTGTGTGTGCGGTGCCTAGGTTTCAAAACAGATGCTGTTTGTGTAGAATACAGGGTGAATGTGTTTAGATGATGTCAGTACCTTGTGGTCTCGTTAACTTTGTTGCTAGCTGCCATCTAAACAAACACCTAAATTGTACACTTTCCTTGAGCAAACTTGAACTTGTCCTCTCAACAGCGTATTTTACACTGTATCAGAGAATGACAACTAAATTAACCCTTACCCAAGCAATTTGCCATAAAAGGACATGAAAGCAATGAAATTTGTGGATTTGATTCCTAAAGGGTTAAAGATAAACTTGAGTACTGGTAAAAAAAAGAAAATGAATTCTCACAGAATCTAACGAAACTTACACTGAATGTTCAAGATTACAAATAAATGTCATGTGCCAAACAATTTTGGAAGAAAATGTATACTGGCTGAGTAATGAGCATAGAAAGATAAGGAAATCAGGGTAGTGCTAGCCCCGACACCATGTGTGTTGTCCCATATACATGTACATGTACATCTTTCTGTGTAAGTGATTGTTACTTTACCAAGACTCTGCCAAATTTATGATGATTTTGATGACTCCAGAACCTTGCATTACACACCATTACTTACATGCTATATGATCAACTTTTCTGATCCATTCCACATCTTTTCTTTCACAATGCAATCGCATTACCAGAACTCAAGTTTATCTTTAACTACACTAGCAGAAACAGAACATCGGTGTGTCGGTGTACACTGACTTCACTGGAATGTTTTCAACAGGTGTCAGAAGGAAAAAGCATGGCTCTTCCTCAAAGTTCTTTGTAATTCTCTGTGTAAATTGACTTTTATCATCTTAGAAGTTAGAGTCCTCGACTGTTAGATAGACACAATGAAAAATGGGATAGTCATGTCATGAGATATGACAAGTGAGAGAGAGAGAGAGAGAGAGAGAGAGAGCAGAGCAGAGCAGAGGCAAAAAGAAAACGGAGGAACAAAAAAAAAGAAGTTCTGTTGCACTAGACAGAGACAATCCTTTAAGGATGCTCTCATATGGCCTCTGAAAAGTGGGGCACGGGGGCAGCGGCCATTTTGAATAATTCATGCACTGCTGCCACGGATTAGCTAAAACGAGTGTGATTCTAATGCTCAATACGGCAAAGACTTGATCTGAAAGACACACTGCTTCTCATCGGGGTGAACTCCTTGCCGGGGAAAGTGATCTCT